GTGAGACTCAGTTTCACATACTTTGGACATGTTATCAGGAGGGACCAGTCCCTGGAGAAGGACATCATGCTTGGTAAAGCAGAGGGTCAGCAAAAGAGAGGAAAACCCTCAATGAGACAGATTGACACAGTGGCTGCAACAATGGGCTCAAGCACAGCGATGATTGTGAGGATGGCGCTTCTATCATACACAGGGTTGCTCTCAGTTGGAACCAACTCAATGGCACCTAACAACAACAGTAGCAAATTTCATATCTAATTGTTGTTGTTAGTTGCCATCAGGGTAATTCCAACTCATGGCAACCCCACGTGTACAGAGTAGAACTGCTCTCTGTAAGTTTCGAGGGCTAACCTTTCAGAAGCAAATCAGCAGGTCTGTTTTTCAGAGGCACTTCTGGGTGGGTTTAAACCACCAACCTTTTGGCTAGTAGTCACACACTGAACCATTTATGCCACCCACGTGGCATAGTTTATAGTAGAAGTGTTATTTTAAATGGTAAGAAAGGCTTGTCACATTCAGAGGCACTAGGACAATGAAAAAAAAAAAAATCCATTGCCATCAAATCGATTCCAACTCATGGTGACCCCACATATTTCACATTAGAACTGTGCTCCATAGTGTTTCATTGGCTTTAAATCATAAAAGTAGATCACCAGCCTTTTTTCTGCAATACTCCTGGGTGGATTTGAACTGTCAGCTTCCAGTTAGTAGCCAAGCACAAACCATTTGCTCCACCCAGGGGGCCTATTGTTGTTATTGTTATGTGCTGTTGAGTCAGCCTGACTCACAGCGACCCCTTCTTGAGATTCCAAGGCAGTATCACTACAGAAGTAGGATTGCCCAACCTTCCTTCTGAGGAGTGGCTGGTGGGTTTGAACCACCAGCCTTCTGGTTAGCAGTCAAGTGCCTTAGGCACTATACTACCAGAGCTCCTAATGTGCAAAGAAATTGTTGTTGTTGTTGTTGTTGTTATGTGCCATCGAGTGGGACTCAACTCAGCGACCCCTTCTCGGGTTTCGGGTGGTATCTCTACAGAAGTAGATTGCCCAACCTTCCTTCTGAGGAGTGGCTGGTGGGTTTGAACCACCAGCCTTCTGGGTAGCAGTCAAGTGCTTTAGGCACTATGCTACCAGAGCTCACAAGGATAGAATTGCAGACCATGCCAGCTTTCACCTATTTCAGGGAATGAAATCATTTTCACTTAGAAAATTTTTAAAAAGAAAAACCTCCTCTGAGGTATGGTTATGTAGTGGGCCCTGAAAGAAAACTTCATCTGGTATTTCTGAGCCTTTTTGCTATTTTTCTTTAGAAATAATACACTTTTAGCATCTCTACCGTCACCACTTTGTTAGGTACACACTCATCATTTTAAATCCTTTAATCTTCAACCTCCAGTTCTTAGAGATTATCCCTTATAACTTAAGCTATGTTGGGAATCTCTTGGGCTGTGTCCAGCATACTGCCTCTTTCCTATCTGTGTATGTGGAGTGACCAAGTGCTAAGCCAAGGGTAACTTTCATGGCCCATCAGCCATTGTATAAGTGAAGGTTCTGCAGAGAAAAAGAACTAACAGGACACACACAGAGATTAGAGAGAGGAATTTGAAGGAATCGACTCATGCAAATGTGGGAGCTGGCAAGTCCAAAATCTGTAAACCAGAAACTCTGGCAAGATAGCTGTATTTCATTCTCTGTGTGTGTGTGTGTGTGTGTGTGTAACAGTGTTTACCTTTGTTGTCTATTACTCTTCTTTTTCCTTAGTGATATTGTGCTCATCACCCACTATTTATATAGTGCTTTTCCCCTCCCCCAAATTAATGTGTCTCTTGTCTAGTGAGTAATTTTCCCTCCCTTCCCATCCCCCATCGCTCTAACAGACGTGAGGCAAAATTCCTTCTCCTCTCAGAAATCTTAGTTTTTGCTTTAACTGATTGAATCAGGGCCACTCATATTATGGAGCATAATCTCTTTTACTTAGAGTCAACTGATAATAAATATTGATCACATCAACAAAATAAATGCCATCATAGTAACTAACTAGTCTTTGACCAAACAGCTGGGCACCATAGCTTAGTCAAGTTGACATATGTAATTCACCATCACAGCCATTGTGTATAATAATTATAAGAACTGGCACTAAGAAATAGAGTGGCACACAAAATAAAAGACATTGTAATATCAGTGCCCTTCTTCAAAACCATAAATATGAGACAAAATGGTCAGTAATTTCTTAAATGCAAAGATGAGGAGATAAGGGGACAAGGAAACCAGAGTACTAGAAAGGGAATAGACAGTACAATTAAAGAGAATGCTGACGCACAGTGTTGAGTGTAACTAATGTCACTGTACAATTTGTGTGGAAATTGTCAGATGAGAACCTAGTTTGCTGTGTAGACTTTCATTAAAAACTCAATTAAATATTATTAGATAAAAAGAACAACATGGCACTGAGCCTTTCTCTGTACTTTGGGCCCCAATGGTCAAGGTCAAAAGTTTTCAGAAATTCAGAAACTAAGAGCAAATACTAAAAAGAGTTATTTATAGTGAAGAAAAGTGCTTGAATAAAGAAAGTAGGTGAATTCTTGTGAGCCTTGACAAGGGATTGCAACAGAATTTTCTTCTTTCACCTTCCATCTTTTTTTTAATCATTATTGTGGAAAATATACACAGCAAAGCATACACCAATTCAACAATTTCTATGTGTCCAATTCAGTGACGTTGATTACATTCTTCAAGTTGTCCAACATTCTCACCCTTCTTTTCCAAATCTTTTCTCCCCCATTAACATAAGCGCATTGCTCCCAAACTGCCTGTGTAATCTTCTAAGTTGCTACTGTCCATTTATCCCACATAGACAGTTCTTTAAAAGAACACAGTGCTCAAAGCAGACATTCTTTACTAATCTGTTTGGTTTAAAGAACACTTTAGGGGATATTTTTGGTTTAAGGTTTAAAGATTATCTCAGGGCAATAATTTTGGGGGTTCGTCCGGCCTCAGTGGCATCAGAAAGTCTAAATTCCATGAGAATTTGAAATGCACAACAGAAGTGTTAAACGATCTGAGAATTGCTTAAAGTTCATATGCAGTCCACGAACATGTTCAGCATGGGTAGAAAACACAACCTAAATAAAATAATCGGGGCTTCTCCTCCAAGGAGTTGTCAGTTCCCCTTAAGCAAAGGCTATTTCAATGCTGCCGAAAGTTCAAAGACTGAAATTTTCAGGTGAAATTTTCAGTTTGGTTATTAAGAATGAGTGTTATCAGAGAATTTTCTGTGAAACAAGGGCTTTGTTTGCATACATGTTTCTTCATAGTCATGAAGCTTATTGGCAAGGGAAGAGGCCTGAAGACTTCTTTCTCCCTTCATTACCCTTTTCTGGGCTGTTTCCAGAACCCCAAAACCTCTCTCCCTCTCTTCTTCTTCTTCTTGTTATGTGCGGTCAAGTTGGACCCGACTCATAGCGAGCCCTCCTTGGGTTTCCGAGGCAGTATCACTACAGAGGTAGATTGCCCAGCTTTCCTTCCGAGGAGTGGCTGATGGGTTTGAACCGCCAGCCTTCTGGTTAGCAGTCAAGTGCCTTAGGCACTACACTGCCACAGCTCCTACTTCTTAGTGTTCTTATATGCAGCCATCCATTGTATAGGTCACATTCTTAGAACCAAATTATGAAGAAGTGGGAGCAAAGTTTATCAGTGTGGTGTTGCCAGAATGAGAAGACTGTTAATAACATTCCACCCAGAAAGGAAAGAATGGCTCACCTCTTGGGATGACTTTCTGGTTTTAGTTCTCTCAGAGAAAAGTGTTCCATTCCCTGAAATAGGTAAAAGTTGACATGGTTTGCAGTTCTATCCTTACACGTACACATTGCAGTTGCCAAAGTGCCTGAGTTCTGACAGTTTCTTAACCATTTTGAATAACACCTCCATTAAAAACCAAAAAAAATCACTCACCACTTCATAATGTGCTTTTTAACCAAAAGAAATGTTTTGTCTGTGGAGAACCAAGCTGAAGCTTCTTTTTGTGAAAAAACAGTCTTTGTGATGCTGATGTGAATTTTCCCTTCCAGGGGGAAGTGAATTTTCCCTTCCTGGAAGGGAAAATTCACATCAGCATCACAAAGACTTTTTTTATTGGGTTTTTGGTGGTGGTTGGTGGTTTTGTTTTTTTTTTTTTTTCTGTAACTGTCCTTTCCACTTCTATGAAAGCATTATTGGGTTCTCAGAGAGAATTCTAGCAGCTTCTGTTGGGAAAGGCAAAACTTTAAATACCGGAAAACACCTGGCTCATGTGACATAACCTCCTAACTCAGATTATATGTTTTTGATGATCTTACCTATTAAAGTAATAGATTTAAATCATTTTTTTCAAAATATTCAAGAGCAACTTCAAGAAAAACACTTTGAAACGTCCTAAGTTAAAACAATAGAATGTGGTCTCATTTAATTCCCAGACATTAAATATATGTCATAGATTTATGCAAATATACCCTACATTAAATACATAAGGTTGATGGAGAGAGGGTTCCTACTCTTTTTTTCCTTTCAGAAAAATAAGCCTCGTTTAAGATTAAGAAATTAAGCTAGTTTGGGATTGTGATTGAATTTGCTGTATAAAAACCAAGAGTGTAGCCTGCTGTGGGACCCTTAGTTCTGGAGAAGCAGCAAATAATTTAATCATAGTAACTTCCCTGATCCGATTTCTTTGAATCCACATTTATTTGCAATGTCTGCAATATGTTAAGGGAGCTCTGGTGGCGTAGTGCCTGAGGCACTTGACTGCTAACCAGAAGGCTGGAGGTTCAAACCCACCAGCTACTCCTTGGAAGGAAGGTTGGGCAATCTACTTCCGTAGGAATGCTGCCTCGAAAACCCAAGGAGGGGTCTCTATGAGTGGGATCCAACCCGACAGCAGTGACTTTGGTTTGGTTTGTAATATGTTATTATCGGCCATTTAGCCTTAAGCAGATGGTACTCACTGGCAATGTTTTCATTTTCCTGCAGAACTCATCTAAAGCTGCCCAAGCCCCATCTCCGTGGGGGGCCAGTGGAAAGTAAGTTCCCTTTTCCAAAGTAAATGCAGTAAGAGGGACCCTGCATGATGCTGGGTGATGTGATGCTTTGCTTCAGTGCCAAGGGGCTTCCCCACCTTGCCTGGTGCCAACCTCTCCACTCTTATTTTTCTACGCTCCCCCCTTCCAGGAGCACTGGAACCCCATCCCCCATGTCTCCCAACCCCTCTCCCACCAGCTCCGTGGGATCTCAGGGGAGCCTTTCCAACACCAGCACCCTGTCCCCATCGACCATCGTCAGCATCCCACAGCGCATCCATCAGATGGCAGCCAATCACGTCAGCATCACCAACAGCATCCTTCACAGCTATGACTACTGGGAGATGGCCGACAACCTGGCCAAGGAAAACAGAGGTGTGTGCATCACTGGGGAGCAGTATGCATGGTTAGACCACAACTCAGGGAGAAAACTTGACCTTTGGGCACTATCAGGCCATTATTTTATCTATGGACAAATAGTACTAGTGGTCACCTCCTGTATGAAACCTTTCCTGGTCTCTCCCTCTTACTCACAACCTCCTATGCTTTTACCCACTGCAATCCTTACTATAGCATACATGGTAGTCAATTTGGCTGGGCCTGGTTGAGTGGCTGGGCAGCTGGTGGTAGTTATTCCCCATGATGAGACTGGCAATCAACTCCATGGTGGGATCTACCACAAGCAGCTGAGTAGCTGCTTTAGGGATATGGTTTGCTTCCGTATATAAGCAGCAGCTTTGGGAACGATCTCTAGTTTATGGCATGCTTGAACGCTGCTTGTAGCCATGTCTTCAGCAGCCTGCCATGCTCTGCCAATCTTGGGACTTACAATGGACTAGAATTAATGGCCTGCCATGTGGTGTGGTAACATCAGGACTGTGCCTTTTACTTGTCAACCTTGGCTTGTCAGCCTCAGCAGCCAGTAGCTGCCTGAGTGAAGATGCCTCTAGCTTCAGTGGGCCAGGAGCAAGAGGCAGAGCTGAAGCCCAAAGTTGAGAGCCCTTCACCCAGCCCCTAGAGCCTGGCACTTTGAATTCGGACTTAACACCACTGAACTGTAAGAAAGTAAACTCCTGTTTTTTCAAGACTTCCCATTTGTGGTATATTCTTGTTAGAGAGGCACCAGCTAACCAGAACAATGTATAATGTGAGATAGATGGCACAGATGTAGATAGATGCCCCTGCACCATAGGTGCAGATAGTTTGTGCTTGGCTACTAACCAAAAGATTGACAGCCAGGCACAATGCACAAAAAAAGACCTGGCAATCTACTTCCATAAGATTGCAGCCAGTGAAAACTCTGTGGAGTGCCCTTCTACTCTGACTCATACAGGATCACCATGAGTTAGAACTGACTTGATGGCAATAGGTTTTTTATAGTGCCTAAGACACTTGACTGCTAACTAGAAGGCTGGCAGTTCAAACCCACCAGCCACTCCTCGGAAGGAAGACTGGGCAATCTACTTCCGCAGAGATACCACCTTGGAAACCCAAGGAGGGGTCGCTATGAGTCATCTGACTCAAGGCAGTGAGTTAACTAAATAGATAAAGATATACACACATATTTTTTTCCCTTTAGACAGGGAACTCTTTGAAAGTAGGGATACTATTTTATTTAATGTTGTCCTAAGACCTAATACAGTGCCTAGAATACAGCTGTGCTCTGAAACACTGAATGAATGAAAGAATGTTACTATTTAAGTGCTACCTTCTTACAACTGAAAAGACAAAAGTTTTACATCTAGCCCTTAGCTTTATGTCTTTTTTAATAATGGCTGTTTTTACTGATTATAAAAGTAGTAGGTGCTTATTGTGGCTAAATATGTAGAGTCCAGAAAAATGTAAAGGAAAAAAATTTAAATCATCTTATCAACAAGATATAACTATTGTTGACTTTCTGCTGAAGCTTCCTCTAGTCTTTATTGTCTGAATATATTGTTGTTGTTGTTGTTATGTGCCGTTGAGTCACACCTGACTCATAGCGACCCCTCCTTGGGTTTCCAAGGCGGTATCACTACAGAAGTAGATTGCCCCATCTTCCTTCCGAGTAGTGGCTGGTGGGTTTGAACCACCAGCCTTCTGGTTAGCAGTGAAGTGCCTTAGCCACTATGCTACCAGAGCTCAATATATTAGTTTTACCAAATTAAGATCATATCGCATATACAGTTTTATATCCTGACTTTTCATTTAATATCATTTCAGGCATTTTCTCATGTCACTAACTAGTTCACAAACACCCTTTATGATGTTATTCTGTTATGTTGTTGTTGTTGTTACGTGCCATCAAGTCGGACCCAACTCATAGTGACCCCTCCTGGGTTTATCAGCAGAATAAACCTAAGTTTATACTATGCAGTATCACTACGGAAATAGATTGCCCACCTGCCTTCTGATGAGCAGTCAAGTGCCTTAGGCATTACGCTACCAGAGCTCCTTATTCTGTTATACTATTCTATAATACTCTCCCCTAAGTGGTTATATGATTATTATATCATCATAAAATATCATGAGTTCTTGAACCATTCCCATATTTTTGAATATTTAAGTTACTTCCAGGTTTTTTTCCTACTATTACAAATAACGTTGCAATAATTATCCTTATATAAATCACTATTCACATTTCTGATTCTTTTCTTAGAAGGATGTTGCAGAGGTAGAATTTTGGGGTTAAAGGACGTAGAATCCTTTAAGGCTCTTGATACATAATTGTTACGTTTTCTCCAGAAAGATTATACCAATTTACTACTTTCCCTCCAGTAACAAGTGAGCTTACTTTCTGGCCATTACAAACAAATTATGTTCCCTTCATAGCATAAACCTCTAAGGATATGACCACAGTGAGATGAGGAATTAAGGCTCCAATAGGCAGATGAATCCTGGGTACATGGAGTTGTTAATAACAGCAGATAGTACATAATGTACAGCAGAGAGGTGGTGCACACTTTGAGTGTAATGGAAATTCCAAGGAAATCAGATGCCAGGGGACTGCGGCCATTAAGTGAAGTTTGATAGAAGAGCTGGCACTGAATGAGGCTTTGAACAGTAAACAGCAAGTGAATGGCTAAGATGAATAGAGTGGTGTCACAGGTAGACAAAACAGAAGGAACAAATGCCTAAAAATATGCAGGCCAGTTTGGGAGACACTAAACAGGTCAGGCTCCAGACTGCCAGAGGGCTCAATGCCACATGTCCAGGGCAGAATCACCATTGCTTTCCCCAGACCTGTTCCTCCTGCCTTGTTCTGCTCCTGGATTCCTGCCATGGTCCCTGGAACTTGGAGTCTTCCCTGACTCTTCCCCTCCCTTCCCAACAAGACTTCATTTGACATGTAGTATGAGCCCTTTTGAAAAACGTCTCCCAGACGCGCACTCTCAAGGAGTACTATTCAGTGAAACACCTGGCACAGCACAGCAACCACACTGCTACAGTTGAGAATATGTCCCAAACAGGGATCTTTGAGAGAGCCTCATGCCTTATTCATCTTTGTATCCTGCCCTACCACTACTCCTCTGAGCCTATCACAGTGTCTTGCCATATTGAAAATGATTATTGAAAGGTAAACATACCCACCAGGAAACCCAGGGAGTGCCCAGAGACAGGGAGGTGACATCAGTGGAGATATTTCAAGATCCATATCTAATTTGCCCTGGGAAAATGAGACCCCCCCACTTGGACTCATCCCAGGGGCTCCACTGTGGCTGCTCTTGAATACAGTTTACAAAATGACAGACTCACATTCACATTCAGGGTGGGAAGTACCACTGCCTTGGGACAATGGAGTCTGAGGGAACCCATTTGCTTTTTTGTTTGGTTAAGTAAATGCTACTTCTTAAAACTGGACATGGCCAATCTAGTGATTTATTTGGATGTAGGATGAGTTCCTACCTTTGGGTTTTATTTTTGCAATCTGATACTGAAGTCATATGGTGGGACAGAGAAGACATAATTCAATGAAAGCCATAAGTGGAATTTAGTCTCAAGTCTCTCAAGGTAGCATAATTAGCATACAGATCACTTGACTACCTCTCTCCGTCCTCTAGAATTCTTCAACGACCTGGATCTGCTGATGGGGCCTGTCACCCTTCACAGCAGCATGGAGCACCTGGTCCAGTACTCCCAGCAGGGCCTACACTGGCTGCGGAACAGCACTCACCTGTCGTAGGGACCTCACCCTTGAGCCAGATTGCGCTCTCTCATCTCTACGGACAGCTCAATGTTCCTGGACACTGTGCTACTGAAATTCTCAGCCACAGCATTTGTCAAATGATGGTGAACATTTCCTCAGCATTGAACAATGGTCTTTCCCCAGGGCATGTGTGTTTGTATGTGTGGGTGTGTAAGAAGCTGCCTGTGTATGTATGTTCAAAATACAAAGCTCTTCTTTGTCTGGCTTCCATGACCCTAAACTAGACAAAGTGATCACAGGTTTCTGATTAGAAGAAATACACACACACACACACACACACACTTTCTATTTCAGTGCTAAACCATGACTTAGAAAATTCAACCAAAATTTCATGGGTTAGTTAACCAGGTGAATTACAGCACACCAAAAGCTTGACTGCCAGTTAAGATGAACCTAGCTCTTAGACTGTTGATCACTTTCAGTATTAATATACTATTTCCCAATTATTTCTTGATTGGTGTGTATTAATGGGTAATTGAATAATGGAAATAAGTCAGTTATTTTTGTGCCAGAAGTTTAATAGATTGCATGTTACCAAATACCCTGTCCTTCTTCTAATATCCCACCCTCCATCCAAATTTGTTAGCAACTAAATGCATAACAGGCAAATGGATTCACTCCCAAAAGCCTTGCCTGGCCTATGCCCAAACTAGCGTGAAAATGGCACTGAGAGTTGATATAAACTCAGTGTCTTTGAAAGTTAATAAACACTCAAGTGATGATTGTGTTTTGGAGCTCAGTTAAAAATTGAGATCTTTCGCATATGTGACAACAGACCCACGCGGCACGTGTGTTTCTTCTCCCTGCCACTGTGACACAGTGGCTTCAAAGCCATGTACCATTTGTCAGCCAATATTTTTCAATCTTTTCTTTCCACAGTAGTTTTTCTTACAAATTTCCTTGGCCAAATTAGGACATTAACTAAATGTCCCTTCACTAGAAGTCAGTGCCTATTGTTTCTCAGGCTGAGAACTATTCGCTATCACAAAGGCCACTGCAGGCCTTTAACGCATTTGGATTTGGGGGATAGTTTTCAGGCTTCGATTAGCAAGCTGCTTACTGTGCAGGAGGAGTCATTCATGCAATTGTCACAGTTCTGTTTGTTTGGGACAACAATGACCAGAGCATCCTGCTTAACTCCTGTACATCTGGTGTGTTTACTTCTTATGCTTGGTTCTTTTCTTTTAATTAACCTTATATTCTTGTTTTGACATTTCATTTTGTGTTGAATTTCTATCTGAAACTTAGTTCTTTTATAGTGTCTTGTCACATCCTAGATTTAGTCTCTTTGTTAATAACTATATTTGGATATGAAAATATTGGAGAAAAGAAAAAAATTCCTGGAAAAGAAAATACACCTTGCCATACTTTAAAAATAACAATAATTTCCTTGACAAAATTGCATCAGGTTAGTCTTAGGAAAAGATAGGATGCAGTATATGTGGTAATCCATTTTGCAAGGTGATAGTGCACAAAATATTTATAATAGATGTTATTGTATGCTCTCATTCCTGTTCTTATTGGTTTGGTTGCAGTGTTAACATTCTTTGTCAGTCTGATCTCCAAGTGGAAAATAAGATTGCTATAATCCCCTAGCCCTAAGCACTGACTCAAAACTGCAAACGATCAAACGACTTTGTTGATTTAAAATTAATTTAAAATGAGCAAGTGAAGGGCTTGTTAAAATTTGCATTTGACTTTGGCCTTCAAGAATTCTGGAAATATTAGCAGTATTTCTATTTTATATTTATCCAACTTAGGTGCTTTCACTAACTGTTGACAGATTTCATTATCTATTCCTATGTTGAAATTCAAATCTAACTTAAAACGTTAAAAAAAAATTTTTTTTTTAAAGGACTGAGACTTAGTTCTACTTATTTGGTAAATTCTGATGATGGCATATTCAAACTCTCATGAAGGAATGACCCTTGGGGTCTGTCATTCATCCACAGGTGCTTTTCTGGTCTTACCTATCTTTAATGTTGAAGGCTTTGTTGTGGCATCCATGTGATGTCATGACACTCATTTAAACAAACGGATGGTCTTGGTCTGAATAATGCCAGCAGCATTTTGTCAGCAGCTTAGTGTTTCTTGGCCAAGCTTCTTGAAAGTGGTTGTTTAGGAGATGGTCAGAGCATGCCATTCTTATCACCATCCCCAGTTTCATCTGTGGAGCATGTGGGGCCAGAAGTTTCTGCTTGGTTTGGTATAGACTATTTTGGCAAGGAACCACCCTCTGTTGCTTGTGCAAATCATTCATAACTTGTTCCTTTTATTTAGTTTTGTTCAAAGTAGAAACACCTTTATTGTATTTTGTGATAATAAAAATAACCCATGCTCATTGTAGAAATTGAAACAGTACAGAGAAGTAGAAAGTATAAGTTACTGATGGTCCCATCCCCAAGACGACTGCAGCTCACAGTTTGATGTCTATCCTTCCACAGACATTTCCACTGAAACCTATACCTTTTATTATCCTTTCTTTCTAATTGAAGACATATTCTTTCCTCAGAAATTCAACATGGTCTTAACTGACCTTATCCTTTCATGACTGGAATAGATTTTTCTTCCTTTATCATATTGTTAGGATTATCTCTTAAAAAGTGTAACCCAAATATATTCCAGATCAAAATTTGGTGTTTGTTACTGCTCTACACAGATCAGACTCATGTGCAGAATTGTGCCTGGAGAGAGATGTTTGGTTAAAACAAATACTTCTGGAAAAGTTCAAATTGAAAATGGAAACTCAGACCCACTATCTAAAGAGCGTACTGGAAAGAGTTGACGAATTGTGTACTAGATTGAATACATGGAATGCAATGCAATGAGACTTGCTGCACTAAAATTTATCATACTGTGTACAACAATGATATGTGTATTATATAACAGTGATGTGTACATTTCTGACACCCCATACATAAAATACACAGATTGTACAAATGCATATGTTTAAAAATATATATGTACAATACAGCTAACATAAAACTGTAGTAAGCCTGAAGGATATTTCTAGTGCCTAATACTGAGTATAAGTCACTGCGTGTTCACATCACCTTGGAAGTGCAGTAATTGTTACAAAATTAATCAGTGCAGCCAACCATTATTTATGAATCACATCTTTGAAACTGTGCAGTAGTATATACATATATATTTTTAAATAACATTTTTCACAGTTTTCCAGAGTTACTGTTGAAATCTGTATCACCAAAAAAGAAAAATCAAGATTTTTTTAATGATGTAGACACTCTTCAGACCCAGTAATCTGTGTGTGATTTCCCTGTTTGTAGATACCCGAGAGACTTTAGCAGTCACCAGCCTTAATGCATGTACAGGATATTATTGTGACTTAATTTATCTGCAGTTTTTAATCCATGTGAAATTGGAATTTATAAACGGACTTGGATTAAATATGTCTGCCTTTCTAAGGTTGCAAATGTTACATTAAATGACTTATGTTGTAAATGAGAGACATGGAGTTGTACGCCGAAAAAAAAATCCACTAATTTCTGTGAATATTTTTACAAGGATACTTCAGAATCACAATATGTTCTAACCAATACTGGGATTTCTAGTTCAGAATCTCTGTAGAAGCAACCTTGCTGGTTCGTGAATGTTTTTAATGCAGCTCCCACAGATTATCATTACTAATTCTGATTTTTTCATGGAAAAGAAGTGTGTTCTTCATTACAACTACAGTTTACTCCTAGTCTTTCCAGCTTTCTGACACACAGAGACACATCATTGTCCCAGAAAATGTTGAATGGGAAGCTTCAGAAGTTCAAATTGATAGCTGCACTGATGTCTATCCCACAAGCTAGCCCTGGGTTACTTTTTTACCAAACATTTCTTGATAAAGCAAGTTCCCTGACTTGGGTGCTGTTCTTTCCTACTCAAGCCAACATGGCAATATTTGGTTGAGTAAAATAGAATTTTGAACTAAAGTAGATACAGGTATTAGGCCAATGGCTTGACATGATATATGCCCCCTGTGTGGGTGGCTTTTTTGTTAACCTCATGTTTACCCTTTTCTCTCTCCTTTTTAACTTTCCCTCCTCCCAAAACTAAACAAAGAAACAGAAACAATAACAAAACACAATACTATTACTTAACTTTATCCTTAGATTCAAATACCCATTGTCCTATTCTCACTATGCCATCTTACATTTCAGGTATATCTAGAGAGGAAATGTAAAGGAGTTCATTTCAGGCATGCAGTTCAACTAAGTCCCCATTATCCAAGCAGAAGGACACAACAGAATCTTGGCTCTAGGTCACCATGGAGGCCATCTCACCAAAAAGTAGCCAACAGAAAGGACTTGACTTTTCTGCACCTGGGCCCCCGAGCGTGATGTTCTTTCTGAGCTGGTTTGGGCTAAGCACACCCAGCAGCCCTTGAAGAACTCTCTCTCTCTCTCATATGGTTTTGCCACCTACACGGCTAAAGTTTGTTCCTATTAGAATCATATTTTAAAAAAATAATACATTTTTTGCTGCAACCTGGATCAAATAGAGGCTTGGGAAAAAACATTAAAAAAGTGAAATAAAATACCAACAACATAAACTTTTTCAACAATTTAGAGCCAGTTTTTCCTCATTTTCCTGTTTCCAGAAGAGCAGAGTTTTTCAATACTACACCTTCCTGGAAAAAAGAACGAGAAATGTTCGGACTTGAGATTGGGTTCTCTTTGTCCAAATAGAACCCTTCTGTATCTATCACCAGAGGAGGGGCTCTTGTTTATTTGGCACAAGGAAACATTCATCCTCAAACTAATTACATTTAACCATGGTTTTGGTTTTTATTATTTAATTGGCAGCAGGGGGTAAATTTTGGGTCTGTTGCAATGGGATTTAGATTCACAGCTCTTACAGTAATGAGAATCAGGGGATTAAATCCCTATGCAACACTCCAAAAATCCACCTCATATAGCCAATTTTAAGCATATTGATCTAAGAGATGAACACAAGGTAGCGGTTGTGAGTCAACACAAGGATCAGCACTTGTCCAT